CAATACTGTTAGTGCAAAAGGTCGTTTGTAAATATTGTCATATTTTATTCTATTTGTGGCATTTCGTAGTCTGCAGCTGATATAAACAGTCTGCTACGATATATAATAAAATATGAAATTATACTAATAAATAATAAAGAAACAATTAGTTCTTATGCTCTCCTATAAAACATTCAATTTTTACATACGGTCTTTTGCACTAACAGTAGTGATATTTATGTTCATCATGCACTGGATTTTTTACTTTCGTTTTTTCGTTAATTCGGTTGCGCATGCACGCAACCCCCGAATAACTTCTCAGCGAATTCAGAGAGAAACCATATTCCAAGAATGGCAAAGACGGACAACAGCGCACCTAGCAATAAAAAACAATAAAGAAAGAGGTGCAACCGTGGACCAGCTCCAGACGCAGCAGTCGTAGACAAGAGGTCGTCCTCACGCGGCTGAGGATCGGACATACTAGACTGACTCACCTCCACCTCATAACAAAAGATTCTATCCCCCGATGTCAAAAGTGTAACCAATCACTAACTTAATAAACATATTTTGGAAGAATGCCCTTTTTACACCGCAAGATTAAAAGATTTTGGAATACCCCAGAATATATCAGCATCCCTGGGAAATCGAGAAGAAATCGTTACCAAAGTCATCAAGTTCCTGGATAGTGAAAGACTTAAAAAACACAGGCTTTTTTTATTTATTAATTTTTTTTAATCTATTTATTTTTATTATATTTTCTCTTATTATTATTTATTTATTTTTTCACTTGATTTCATTTCATTTTAAATTCATTTGTTTATTAATCACAATTCACTTATTGATTCTACTGCTATTTTTTAAAGTTTATTTATTTATACATTTTTTATACATCTTATTACCTATAAATGTATATTATTATCCTTATTTATTTATTTTATTCTATCAATCCATTTCTTTATTTATTTTATTTTTTGAAGAGAAGAATAGTTAGGGTGCTCAGTCAAAAAAGGAAGGCAAAAAATAAATTATAATATTTATTTTTTACATATGCCGACGTTTCGACCTGAAGTTCAGGCCTCCATCAGGGCTTTCTCCTTAAGTGTCAAGGGGAGAATCATTCTCCCCTTGACACTTAAGGAGAAAGCCCTGATGAAGGCCTGAACTTCAGGTCGAAACGTCGGCATATGTAAAAAATAAATATTATAATTTATTTTTTGCCTTCCTTTTTTGACTGAGCACCCCAACTATTCTTCTCTTCATTATCCACGACAGTCAACCAATTACCAATTATGTATTTTATTTTTCATTTTTTTGTACCAATCATCCAAATAGTATTAAATGATGTTATTTAGTTGATCGGGCGCTTATGACCTGGATGTTTTGCGCCTAGACATCGAAACAAGCAAACAAACTTCTCAGCGATATTATCTACAGTCAATTATTTCTCTACACTTATTATAAATTATAGATTTATTATTATTATTATGTAATTTATAATTGTATTATCAATTCAATATAGTTGATCAAAGAAATAAAACACAGTGGATAGAGAAGGCTATATATAGAGAGGGGAGGGTGACACGACGCGGATGCAATATCCGACCTCAAATGTTTCCTTCCTTCCTTAACCTCTGTCTTTAGTGTTATTTGCTATCCTTCGACGCCATTTATTAGTAATCAGTATCTACATATTTTTATAACATTTTTATATTATATTTTAAGATTTTAATTAATTATTAAACTCTGATAATACTTCTATCCACCTCTATGGAGAAAAAAAGAAACATTATCACCTACTTTATAAATAATACTATTTTATCTCCAAATAAAAAAAACCAAGGAGTGTGCTTTACAGCACACGATAAAAATGAATAAACTTCAAGGTGGGGTTAATAATATGAAATATAAATTATAAATAATAGCTCATTATAAAGAGGATGAAATGCTGATTACAAAAAACAGATCCGTATGCAGATCCGAATTTTAGTTTCTGAGATATTTTAATCCATATCTTCAATAAAGCTGGTTCTCATTTGATTTTCGACAATTTTTTTCTTTTCTCCTCTCTAATACAGAGTCGCGTTAATATATAATTTTCAATTATAGCCCATTACAGAGAGTATGAAATTCTGAACATTTTCCTCACTTACAATATGGAGATCCGATTTTTAGTTTCTGAGATATTTTAATCCATATTTTCAATAAAACTCCTTTTCACTTGGTTTTCGACACTACTTTTTCCTTTTCGTCTTCCTAACACGGCATCGCTTTAAGATACAATTTGAATAATAGCCCATTACAAAGAGGATGAAAGTATGAACATTTCATACGCAGGTCCGAATTTTAGTTTTTGAGATATTTTAATCCACATGCAAAAATACTTCAATTAGTCGAATCCAGCCAACTTTACCCGAGCGTTGGTTTCATGTGTAAGATCATCAATAGAGTGAAAACTAAAAAAACGTGTGCCAAGTAAAGTCAGTGCAGCTTCCTCACCGTTTTCATTTGCTAAAAAATATTTATATTAAAACTTCTAAAAATTTTCTTATGAGAATAAAATCTTTTCGAAAATTCAGTAACTGCTCAACATATACCGACTTGATAACCACGAGGTTTTTTGATCAGCAAATACTAAAATGCGAAAAAGTTTCGCATTTGCAGATAGCATATTTGATGATCCTCTGATATTCTACACTCTGCGCATACTGAAGTATATAAAAATTGATTGTTTTACAGGAGAGAACATAAAAACTAATCATTTCTTTATGATTCATTAGTATAATTTTACATTTTACTACCCTCTGCTATTTTATATTTTACTGCCTTCAATAAAAGTTTTCATTTGGTTTTACACACTATTTTTTTCTTTTTCGTATCCCTAACACGACATCGCTTTAAGATATAATTTTGAATAATAACTCATTACAAACAGGATGAAAGTATGAACATTTCCCGAGCTAACAATATGCAGGTCCGATTTTTAGTTTTTGAGATATTTTAATCCATATGAAAAAATACTTAAATTAGTCGACTTTGCCCGAGCGTTACACATCGGAGATATGACGACTAAATCTAATTTACTCTTCAGAAAAATAGTACGAAAATGCGCCTATTGAAGTTTTCACTTCAAAAATGGTCAGTTTTACAAATTAAAAAACGATTATTCATAAAGAACTATAAAAATCACATTATAATAGTTCGCGGTACAGACCCCTTTTTATCAAATTATTAACATCCGCCTGAAACTTCGTAAATAGCGTCATCTCATCGTAACCTAGAAATATTTTATTTACGGACATCCTCGAAATTGGGGTATTTTTAATCTGGAGGGAGGCCAAGTTTGTATGTTTAATTAGGTATCAAAAACTCGTAAATACCCAATTGCTTTCCACTTAAATCGTAAGATAATTTAGAAAGAAAATCGTGGAAAAAGATGGACTTAAAAAATATTTGGCCGTTTGACATGACATACACCACCAAATTCTAAAAATAATATAGGACAAACGGCGTAATATTTTTTGTAGACCACCTTTTTTATCAATTTTGTGATCAAATGATCTTACGATCCAATTGGCAAGCAAATATGTATTAAAAGGTTTTTACTAACTAATTAAATATACTAAGTTTGCACTCCTCCAGATTGAAAATGCTCCAATTCCAAGAATTTTCGTAAATAAAATATTTCTAGGTTACGATGAGATAAAGCTATTTACGAAGTTTCAAGCGGGTGTTAATAATTTGATAAAAAGGGTCTGTACCACGGACTATAAAAAATCAATTTTCACTCATAGGATTTATAGAGCACTATTATATTAATATAACAAAGATAATTTTTACTGCCTCTATGTTAAATTTTTTACTATTATGGTCTCCTAAAATAAATCGTGTGAGACTCTGAAATAGGTGATTTATCTAGGTAGTTTTTTATTGGAACGTTTGATAAATAACAACTAATTAGACTGCTAAATGGTGTGGATTATCTTCATCATAATTCAGTCATTTTTTTTAATTCTCTTCGGTAATTAGCTTTGATACAGTACACTGGGAGGTAGTTTATCGATTTTTTCATTCCTCTGCTCTTGAATAACTCCCTCTTCCTGAACAGGGTATCTCTGTTCTTCATGGCCAAACGCTGGGAGTTAGTTAGGTAAAATGTGTACTGTTTATTTGACCCGATCGCAATACTTTTCTTACCTAGTATATGTAGTATTAAATAAACCATAAGCAATAAGGTTATTTATTTATTTTTTTACAGTTGGGGTATTAAGTAGCAATTCTTGGATATCACTGTTTGTGGTACTCTGCCTTAAATGAAATAATGGATCATCTTTGCTAAAATATTTTTTTGAAAAATTTATCAATAATGCAACATTTATAGTAGGATAATGTTGGTAACAGGAAAAACAACAACATTTTGTTAGATATTTAGGATATTTTAGAACCAATTTGGATCAGTACAAGGGCAGGAAACGTAATACATTTCATTTGGGCTCCATCCCACTTTGGTATACACGGAAACGAACAGGCAAACGTTGCATCTCGAATGGCTCGTACGCAAGTTAACCATGAGATAAAATCAATTGATTATGTTCCTCGGGAGGACTGGGTGAGGCAAGCGAAACTCCAAATAATCGCTCAATGGAATGAAACATGGAGAAGGAACCCCTCCAAACTTGCTCTGGTTAAACCCAATAGTGCAAAATGGCGTACGAGTAATAGGGGGTCTAGAAGAGAGGAAATTATCCTGTCCCGCCTTAGAATTGGTCACTGTGAATTCTCTTAGAACTGTGAACCACATACTCGTGGATTGCACACATTATGCAGTTATCCTAAAGAACCTAAACATGCATGAGACTATCCGGCAAGTATTGCAGGATGCGGAGAGAGAAGTCGAAGTCTTGCTGGACTTCTTGAAAACTATTGGATTTTATAATAGAATATGAAAAGCGTGAGTGAATTGACGATTGCCAATGACCCTAGCGGGCAGAGGCATACAAATAAAGAAATAAAACAACATTTTTACTTAGAAATTTCATTAATTTATTTCTAATTGTAAGTTGAATCCAAATTATTATTTGTGGCAGGTCTTTGCTTGGCTCTTGGTTTCTGAAATTGAGAATAACAAAAATTAATCTCATGCTTTGTTATATATTTATATTATTTAGTTAATTTAATATATTTGAAATATAATTACGTGAAATGTGATAGTCGATCCACTTGAGGTAGGCCGAAACGTTTGTGTTGACACCAGGTACAGCAACATTGCCACATTCCTTAGGTCCGTATGAGACGACTGCTGCCAAAGTGAATCTGTTAGTCTCCGGGTCCAACCAGGTCAATGGACCACCAGAGTCTCCCTGTTATCAGGAAGTGGTTATATTATTATTATATGATCGGTAATAATAATGTATGGGAGCGGGATAGCTCAGTGGGTGAGCACTGACTTCCAGAGCTCAAGGTCCTGGGTTCGAATCCGGCTAATGACTAGTAATTTTTCATTAGCCGTGGATCGACCCTGGGATCGGGAGACCTTCCTGGGACACACCCAGCCTCTATAAAGTGGGTACTCTTAATTATAAAAAATAATTAAGGGGGAAAACCTGGCGGTTGAGTGTAATATCGGTCCCTTGCACAACCCGTTTGCCTTGAAACAGTACTTCCTCACATAGTACTTCACCCAAGACCCTTCATGGGTTGTAGTGGTACAAGTTTTTTTTTTTTTTTTTTTTTAAATAATAATGTATTATTTTTGAAATATGTTGGTTGTTACAGAACTCTTTGTGCAATTATTCATTACGGGCATTAAAGCCTCAATCTACCAAAGTTATTACATCCTGCCCTAAAGTATTCTTTACCAATGCTCCACTTACTCCGTCTAAACCAAAATTCATCGAATTTTTTTTCGAAAAAATATATGAAACAACTATGCTCCTTCGGTCAATACAAATTGTTCCATTTCAAGATTGTACTTATAATATAGCAATATGCCAAATATAAACTTGTCATAATAGACCGAAAAAAATGTTCATAAAAATGCAATAAAATATCTTATCGGGCATGATTCTTTATAGATATTCACAAGCTTACATATATTTATGGATTGAATGAACCAAAATTGAGAACATTTTGAATTATTCGCTAATGAAATTGTGAATCCTTTTTTTTTTTTTTCTGTTTTTACTTTCACGATGAAATATATAGTAAAGGAAAGTAATGCGATCGTTAAAATTTTCGAATCTCAGTTATCAATGAAAATAATCGTTTTGAGATCCCCTGAGCCAAATAACCGAATCCCGCAAAATTGTGTGTGTGTTAACAGTATAGCTCAAAAACGAAAAGTCGTACGGAAGTGAAAAAGCATATTTAAGGTTTTTATATGCTAGGGATGTTACAGCACATTTTTCGTCAAAATCAGTTAACCGAAAGAGGCACTTTATATCATGGACTAAACACATTTTTACGATTTTTCTCGAAAACCGCTCTAACGATTTTGATTAAATTCATTACATCAGTATGAAACTAAGCCGTTTTAAATAAAATGCAGTTTTTATTCTGATCGATATTCTTTAACAGGGCTTAAATGGTTAATTTTCAATATTAGCTTTCTATAAAGTATATATATATATATATATATATATATATATATATATATATATATATATATATATATATTTTTTTTATTTGAAAAAATTGAAAATTTCACATTAATATAAAATATACAATTTGAAAGATTTTGATAATTAACTGAAAGAGAAATAAGAGATCGTTACGGAGATTAGTTGTAATTGAGGAACCAAAGCAATACGAGAGCATCCGAGCTCGATCGAAAGATTAGAACACGCTTCCATACCTAACATGAGCTTAATATAATACGGACTCCGACAATATTATATAAATATAAATATGCGGTTTTCATAAATGCTATCGTTGGTATTATTTAATATTTAAGTTATATATATAAAAATTTGTGTATATAAGGATATTTATACAAATAAAAGTATCCGCAATGAAATAGAAATAAATATAGCGTCTATAATTTTTAATATTTCTTCCCCTTTGTCTGAAAATAATTATTTCTGCGAAGAAGAGGGTGGTAAGTGAAAGTTGTGAGATGCGCGCACCGCATTCGATTTTTTAACGTCGCATCTACTGCCAAGTTCATTAGCGACGATGAAGTCTTTGTTTAGTTTGATATAAAGTTTTTTTTTATCTTAGGCCTTATATATTTATTCTATGAAGGAAAGTGTGATATGTTCTGTTTTATTTTACATGTTTTAAAATAAGTGAAAATATATACTCTCTTGTGCTGTACTCCATCAAAATTTCTCCCTAAGGAAGAAACTTTGTCAAATCTATTCATGCCAATGAAGCTTATTATTATTATATTTTTTTTTTTAAACATTATCAATTGTTTGTACTACTTTAGTTTCATTACATTCGTATTTTCAGCCAGTCAACTAAGAAAAATCTCTTTTGTTTGATAGCTCTATTCCCTGATTTTTATTCCAGATCTCTTAGTAAACACTTCAGGGGCAGACATTAGTGTAGCATAACAAAGCATGATTCAATATCCGATGTATCACAGATTATAGAAAACATACGATAAACCATTTTCGGCTTTATGTGTAGACAACTTATACCGCTTATAGTTTCACGAACTTCTAAATCAAATTTTCGACTTACCTTGCATGTGTCCTTTCTCGGAGTGTATGTGCAGATTTGGGCTGCGTTAACAGACCAGTGCTTTTTGCATTCCTGAGTAGATATAATTTCTAGATCGACTTCTTTCAGTTTCTTTATCCTGTCTGCGTAGGGTCTGTCAGGGTCGTATCTTCCCCAACCTAGAATGTTAAAAACATTATATAGTTATGGGTATAGTTTTTGTCAGGGGTGTCCAAAAGGAGATTTTATGGTGCAAGGTGCTCCATCAAAATATTTGAGGGAAGCATATTTAGACATGTTTTTGAATTTTTGTGGGTGGGGAGACATTTCAACGGAGTTATGAATTGTTGGAATGAAAAGTTTCAGAATAATGGATAAGAGGAAAACATGGAAGAAAATGGAGTGTAATTGTATATTATCTACGATTGATCTAATTCTACTTTCCTTTGCTCTGTTTTTAAGAAAAGGTGAGTAATAAAATATCTTGGAAGATGAAGGTTCTTGCGCCATTGACCTTGGGGAAGGGAGAGTGGGCATCCCTGGCTTTTGTTTGTGGAGATAAAACATGGCTCGGTACATTAACATATGTTATTCTATCTTTAAAAATATTTATACTTAATCATATTTTTTTCAAACTTCTTCTGTGGGCATACTTTATTTGTTTTTTTGTTTTCTTGAAAAAAAAAAACAAGCACTTATACAGAGAGACTAATGCAAGCTAATAAACTACTTTTTTCAAACCCCGAAATTGTTGTTTAGACAAAATTCAACTTAATACCCACACATTTATCATAATAATTCGGAAATAATAAATTTGCATTGTTATTTAAAATACTATGTTCAGTCTGTTAAGGATTGGTCTTAATATAGTTTAAATATGAAATACATATAGTTTAAATATATATATATATATATATATATATATATATATATATATATATATATATATATATATATATATATATATATATTTAAACTTGCTATTTAATTGGGAATAAGGTCACTTATTAATTATTTAATAAACTATTGAATGTTCATTTCTTCTATGTTTTTGACGTTTCGATCCCAGTATTTTCTTTTTATAAGTCAACGATGGGATCCTCTTCAAAGCTAGAATTTTAAAAAATAGAGCTTCGATCAGGCCAAGGACACACCGACAGTCTCAGCACCGTCCACTTGCACATATATTAAGCTACTTAAGAGTAGCTTAATATTTTTTTTGTTTTCTGGAGGTTCTGCTTTTTCATACCTTTTTTTTTTGTTATTTTAAATTTGCCACTGCGTTGGAACGCATCAAGCAAATGTGTTGGCGTTAATTATATCTTCTTGAATTCCTGATATTTTCTTAACTTTTCAGCAGATCTTTAGGCCACTGCCTTTTTAGTCGTCTTTGAGGCTCACCAGGTAACAGGGGGGAAGATAGAGATAGAACGAGTGGATTTCGATGATTGAGAGTATAGGAGTGAAATGTTGTGTATGTAGGATTATACTTTTGGTATGTTCATGTCTGTGTGCATGGTGTGATTTGAAATAAACCAAGGAGCATTGACGATTTTACGGAGTATTTTGGATTGTGTGGTTTGAATTTTGTTTATGTGTGTATGTTTTGCGGAACCCTAAAGTACTGCTCTGTATGTCTAAATAGGACTTAGTATAGTGGTGTAGATTAGTCGCTTGTTAAGTAAGTTGAGTGGAGATCTGCAGTCTAAAATATGTGACAGTTGTTTGTATCCTCTGGTCAGTTCTTGTTTTTTTAATTTAGTGTGAATGTTCCAGGTGAGTTTTTTGTCCAAGTATAGTCCGAGATACGTACGTGTGTTTTTGAGGGAACTGGCTCATTGTCTATTGTCACAGCAGGACACGAGATCTTCATCAGGGAGAAGCTAACATGAGTTGACTTGCTGGGATTGATGTTAATTCTCCATTTGTGAAACCATTTTCATACCTATGTTCCTAAAAAACCATTTCCCCTAATGGTAAAATACCCTTCAATAAGGTTATCATATTCTACTTACCAATAGCCTTCAGCATTTGACCGACCATTTCGTTTCCTAACACTCCGCTGGGCATGCAAGCCGGGCCGACGAACTTGTTATATTTGATTTCGGTGGAAGTCACGACGATGGCGATGTCGTTGACAGTAGTTTTACTATTGTATTGTGGATGTATTATGATCTTTTCGGCACGGTGGCGGCTTGAAGCATACTCATATTCTAAAAAAGTACAAGATATTAATGAATATAAACTTTAAATTATTTATTTCACCATTTTGTGCAGATACTCACTGCTGTTCACATCGTGCGCTCCGACCACGACAACTAGGTCTTTGGCCTCAACATCTTCGAAGCAGTGCGCGGCGGTTACGACATGCCAAGGTGTGACTATAGCTCCTCCGCAAAACGTCCAGGTGCTCTGTACGGTCTGAAAGGCGACGATCCATGGGTACTCGTTCTTTCCGGCATCCTTTCCTCCGACTATCCTGCCCTGAAAGAATCGTTGGAAATAATATCTCTGACGAAGAAAGAAAATGACAATAAGCAAGTAGTTAAAAAGGAGGAAACCATGGGTGCGTGAGCGGGAGGATAAAATTTCAGGAAAGTAGTGTTGCCCAAAGTCGGTCTTGGTTTTGCAATTTGCAAGACCAAGACCAAGACCGCCTGACTATTGCAAGACCAATACCAAGACTGGAGTAAAGAATTGTTATAAGCAATATACTCTTGCATTTAACTATTCCAATTTTTCATTCAGACTTAGTTAGGTTTCCTATATCTGAAAAATTACAGTAATATATCTATAGTAATAGATTAATAGATAACTGCGAGACTCATGCGAGAGAGAAATAGGCCAAACCAAAACCAAGGCTAAGACTGAGTGCGCAAGAACAAGACTCGTCTCGGTCTCGCATTTGGACAGCACTACAGATAAGAAGGACTTGTAACAGATAAGAAGATTGGGATGAGGACTTTTCAAAAACATCAGTTCGGTAGGACAAAAAGTGGATGTCAGAAGAATGGGGTTGAATGAAAGATTTACTTGCATAAGTAAGCAAGGAGATCATATATCCCTATAATGAGGAACTGCGAGAACTTTATGGTGAACCTGATATTGTGGCAAAAAGAGCCAGTATCATGGTTAGGTCATGTGGAAAGAATGTCAGACCAAAGAATGCCAAAGAGGATGATGCATGAGAAGCCGGATGGCAAAAGAAGTAGGAACGCCCTCGAATCAGATGACTCGTGGATGTGAAGGACGATCTGAGGTGGCTGAGTGTTCGAAGATGGAGGTAAGTATCACAAGACCGTGGAGATTGGTTGGCTGTAGTGGAGGAAGGCCGGTTTCTTGCAGGTCCGTAGCGCCATTACAATAATAATAATTCCTTCGATGCCGCAGCTATAACAGTCGGAAGAACCAATATAGCAGACAACTGCAGGACTTCCTATAGACATTTTCCGGATTTAACGTACAAGGTATAGGCAAAAATGAAACTTAATGATGAAGTCATCACTTGACCCGGCTGCAGAAACTATTGTTTTAAGTGGAATTTCATATTTATTCATAAATTCGGACTATATTGATAATGATTTTGTATTGTACACAAAATCGTGATGGAAGATTTTTATTTCCCTTGTAAAATCGTTATCAGACCATATCTAAGTAGTATGCGTATTACTAATCTTGAAAATATAAGCTAATACAATTGTTTTTAATACCTTATTCATTTTTCTCGAACCAAAATGAGTAAGGATCAGTTCATTGCAGTTAGGAAAAATTCGGAAAAGTTTATTTGCTGGGATAAATTATTTTTAATAATTATTAAAGTATTAAATAATTACCGCATTTCTCCAGCCACAGCTACAGCTGAGGTTTCCCCAGGCCACGCCGATAAACAAGAATGAAACCAGAATCACCTTCATTTCTCTGGAAAATAAATAAATATTAAGAAAATAATTTGCTAGTAATTTGTATTAAAAAAGAACAATATGTAATAAAAAGTTTAAAACATTATATACAGTAAAGTACATTAAAATATAATTTAATTATAAATTAATTAGGCTACAGAAATGATAACTTTCCCTGTCCGAGCAAAGAGATAATAAACCTGCTTATATATTTTGGTAAATTGTTGTTAAATTGGTAAATTGTTGTCTACAAATATTTGAACCTGGGATAGCAGAAAAAAATTGGCTTTTTATATTATCTATTTTTTTATATTATCTAATGATAATTTTGAAACTTCTTTTTTTTTTTTATCTTTTTTTAGTATCCATAACACTAACCCATTATTCATAACACACTACACATCTCTGTAATAGACTATAATTCAAAATTGTATCTTAACATGTCGACGTGTTAGGGAGGTAAAAAGGAAAAAAATAGTGTTGAAAACCAAATGATAAGGTTAGTTGAGCATATGGATCAAAATATTTCAGATACTAAAAAATTCCACCATGTTTTGTATCTTTTATAGCCCTGATGGATACCTGCAAAGTGGGTCAAAACGTCGGCAAAATAATTCTACTTGTTTATTTTAGTATTTATTTGACCGCACCCCCCGATCAACTCCTTCTCATATTATAACAAGGTTCAACCATCTCTACATCATTAAGATATATAAATAGATAAATTTAAAATATGATTATAAAAATATTTAGTATGAACTATAGCAACATAATGACATTTCATTTTTAAGATTTTTGTTTCCTTTAAAATAGCTTAAAAGGTTGAAACGTTGGATAATAAAAATAAATAAATAAATAAAAATAAAAATTCAATTTTGAAGATTTATTATTAGAAATAAGAATGAAGTCTTACCTTATTTCATCAAAATATATACTGGCTGTATATATTTATTCACCAACGTGAATAAATAACCTTCATTTATTATAGTTCATACTAATTATTTTTATAATCATATTTTTAATTTATCTATTCATACAGCTTATTTTAAAGTTAAGAACATTGAGGCCAATTTTATTAATAAATAATAACCTATGGGCCCCGTCCTTTATATCCTTTTTACCGTCGATATCCCTGTCCATCCCAATACCTTCCTGGCAACATTTGCTGATGACCATCCTATCATCCAACTCAGATCCCGAAGTAACATCTTTAAATCTTCAAAGGCATCTCTCCATGATTGAGCACTGGTGTAATAAATGGCGCATCAAAGTAAACAAATCCAAATGCAAACACATTACCTTCACACTCCAGATCCTGTCCATCAGTCCACTTTAATTCCATCCAGCTTCCTTTTTCAGACACAGTCCGGTATCTTGGCTTTTATCTTAGACCGAAGACTATCGTGGAACCCACATACTAGACTTAAAAGACAAGAACTTAACCGACGATACTGCCAATTATACAGACTACTGACCAGAAAATCTCAACTTTCAATTGACAACAAATTACTGATCTACAAGACAATCCTGAAACCCATTTGGACCTACGGACTTGAACTTTGGGGGACAGCAAAATTCTCTAACATTCAATCCTTTCAATCCAAAGTCCTCCGAACAATAGTCGATGCTCCGTTCTATGTAACCAACAAAACCCTCCATCATAACCTTAATATCCCATTTGTCCTTGACCTTATCCCTGAAAAATTTTCAAAATTCCATCAGAACCTTATCAATCATCCAAATCCACTAGCCCAATCTCTATCTAGTTCCACTCATCCCTACAACCCTTCTCGAAGGTTGAAGCGGCAGTGGCCCAGATATCTTTTATATTATTTAGTTTGGAGTCCTGGCAATGGCCAGATTCTCCACTCAAGACATGAGTGTATGTGGCTAAAGCGCTCTCGCTCAAACTCCACCGGCTTTAGCACCAGTGAGGCGGTTGAGAGAGTAGCGCAGGGATTTGGGTTCCCCGCCTGATTGTATATATTGTATATAGGTATGACTGTATTTTTATGTTTTTAATTTACTTATATTGAGGTTATTTTATTTTTTTATTGTATATAGTTTTTATTTATTATTTTACTTTTGTTAATTTTGTTTCTTTTTTGTATATACGGTGTGAATGTGTTCATTTATCAATATAATTATTGTCCCCTGTGACAGAATATTATATGTCTAAATAAATAAAAAAAATTTAATAAACTACCGTGAAGTTGCTGACAGTTACGCGGTTTCACATTAATTCCGACAATTCATCTTCATTATATTAATATTTAAATGATTTATACTAATATACAAATATCACTTGAAATATGATGATTTAAAAAAGCTAGTATCATGAACGATTCATACTTACTTTGAAGATGATACCAATGTTATTCTGAAACTAACACAACTAAACTCAGCGAATTTATACCAATCAAGCTGATAATATATTCAGTAATTAGCTTAATAATAATAAGCAAACATCAGCGTTTCGGGGATCAATGGTGGTGTACGGCGTTTGGGAAGCTACGCACACAGTCAGATAATATTTACTCTGTTTTAATTACAACCTAACAGAAAAATATTTATAAGGGACCACCTTACAATAGCTGAATACCTATTCTGTATAAACTTATTATACTGATTATTTATGTATATATGATGGGATAATATATTCAGAAATCTGTTCAGCCATAAACAAGCCAATATTGATGTTCGAGTCATCAATGACGTATGATGTTATTGAAATGATTCTTGATGATGCTTTCCACTAAATAAAATTTATTTTCTGCCAATTACAGTGTATATCTTAAAAAAAAAAAAAAAACGTTTGATTTTTCCTTCCCAATTCTAATAACTTTGTAAAATGTTTAGTGGCTGGGAGTTCTGGAGTTATTCTTTATTATTTTTAGAAATACATTTACTGTTTAAAATAAGTGCTAGAACTTATTTTTACTTTACACAAGGTTATTTTCGCCAAAAATGAAAGATTATATTGTCGTTTTATATAATGGTCGACGTAAAACTGGAAAAATTTCCCAAAAAATCATCGAAATGAAATAAAGATTTTAATTAAATGCATAAGGTTTATAAATATTTTTCTTCGATATTATAAACTTTATTTGGCAATATGCACCCTTAGAAAAATTTGAAGATTTATGAATAAAGATTTACTAGACTTATAAGACAAGAACCGACAATATGAGCAATTATATAGTCTACTTAACAGAAACTCTAATCCCTCAATAGAAAACAAATTATTAATTTACAAGACCATATTAAAACCCATATGGACCTATGGTCTTGAACTATGGGGCACAGCTAAACTTTCGAGCATCCAATCCTTCCAATCTAAAAGTCCTTCGTACAATATTCAATGCTCCTTATTATATTACAAACAAAACTCTACATCATAACCTTAACATCCTCTATGTCTTCGATGTTATTCCATCCCGATTCTCAAATTTCCATCAGAACCTAATCGATCATCCTGATCCCTTAGCACATCCTCCTCGAAGGTTGAAACGGCAGTGGCCTCGAGATCTTTTCTAAACATGACATTGGAGTCCTGGCAATGGCCAGGTTCTCCACTTAAGTCATGAGCGCATGTGGCTTTAGTGCCCTCTCAGTCTCCACTGGATACCCACCACAGAAGTTGGAGCTCTCTCGGCTGACTGTAAATATTGTAAATAAGTACGAATATGTTTTTGTAATTTTTTTTTATTTTGTTTTTATAATATATATATATATATATATATATATATATATATATATATATATATATATATATATATGTTATGAATGAGTCTCTGACATCTCAAATGCTAATGCCCTTAATTGAGGCAAAACGTATGTTTTACTCAATTATAATAAATAGTTTATCTTTTTTGTTTTATTGTGTTTTTGTTTTTAATATGTTTATTTATTGTCTTATTGAGTATTAATACATTGGTAATAGGGCTATAGTATTCATTCACACAATATGTACATAAGAAAGGAAAATCAATAAAAATAAACAAGTAAGAAGAGAAATAGAAAAAAAAAATAAAATAAAAAGATAAAGTCATATACAAGATAATTAAAATAACAGATAAGCCGAATGATAACAAAATAAATAAAACACATGCACAGCTTAATTAATTTAAGAAAATTAATTTTCTAATTCCTGTCCATCTTCGTCACCCTAAGTTTTATCCAGAACTTTCCACTCAACCAATTATGGCTTCCATTCAGCCATAGATCGGATTGAGCGAAATGCTAATTTATTTGAATCCTACATAGATTTCTTTGACAATCTGTGGCATTGGTTTGAGAAGATTCTAACTAAAAAATTTGGATAAAATGAGTTTACTGAAATGCGTATATATTTTTTCTAATGGTCAGATTCATATATAATTCCTAGCGCTTTCTGGTTACGAGAGTTTTAATTTTAATTTTAATATAGAAGGGAGGATATCGATAGTAGATAATATCGAATATGCGAGTAGATGGCCATTCCTGTTGGGTACTCCTAAGAGTACGTGATTGTATTCCTCTAAAAATCAGACAGCTCCTTGTAACCTCCCTTATATTCCCCCACTTCGACTACGGCTGTTTGGTGTATGGAGGGCTATCTGTCAGGCTGGAAATGAGAATGAAGAAACTCATGAACTGTTTCATAAGATACATCTTCGGGATCCCCCCTCTTTCGCATGTTTCATTCTGGTACACCGAGTTGAAGTGGCTTTATCCTACTTCCCGACGACAATTCCTCCTTGGTGTTTTCCTTTTCTAAATATTCAGAACAAAAAATCCTCCCTACATCCTGGAACTCCTTACACTTCGTTCATCTACCCGCTCACTTAATACCATTTCTCAACATATAGATTTATGTATCTCCTCTCATAAAACTACTTTCTTCGGCAAATCCTTCGTCATCCGTGCTACTTACTTTCGGAACTCTCTTCCTCCTACCTCTATACGTCCACAAATTCCTTCAAACAACTCCTGTTCCACCACCTACTCCACATTCAAACTTATGTAAACATGTAAAATTGCTTGCATCTGTATACTGTTTAATTTCAATGTACTGCACAATTGCAATAACAATCAACAGTTAATTAGTTTGTATTTTTTTTATTATTTTAAGCCAGACTAATACCCATAAACTTGTAACTCTGTTATTATTCTTAGGGGACTGTAGTCTCAGAATAATTTTTTTTTCTCTTCATTTCGTTCAACATTTATGTTATGTTATCTTTATCGCTATAAAAATAGTTAAATATAGATTTTAGAATTTTTCTGAGGTACGTCTATTATTGGTATCTATCCTCTATTACCATTGCCCAAATGCGAGACCGAGACGAGTCTTGGTCTTGCAAACTCAATCTTGGTCTAAGTCTTGGTCGTGAGCAACACTCTCGTAACAGTCTTGCAATTACATTTTACCTTATTACTAGAGAGATATTACTATATTTTTTTTAGATATGAGAATATTAACTAAGTCTGAATGAAAAATTTAAAAGAGTTAAATGCAAAAGTATTTTGGTTACACCAATTCTTTACATATAGTGACTAAAATTATCAAGTATCAGTATCTATTTTGCCTCAATTTTTATTTAAAAAATCGATTTTTTTTTACTTTATATTATTTTTCGTCTAGGTCTTAGTTTTGCAACAGACGGTGTTGGTCTTGGTTTACAAGATCAAGACCGATTTTGGGCAACACTACCCTCTATCCATTCTAGAACAAATGAATTACGGGGTGTCCATCACTAGTGCAAAAACGCTGCAAATTATTTCACAATGGTTTTTTATTTCCAAACAATTATACATCTAAAGTAACATTACCTTCCTAGTGACAAAGAAAAATAAATAAAAGGTGATTCCAATTCTTGGACTAAATATTTTGTTTAATCATTAGTAATACGCTAAAAAAATTAGCATTACGTCTGTAACACATATAAAAATCAAAAACTAAAACAAAGGATATAATCTTTACAGTAAAAATATAAAAAATTCCTAGAGACCCTATCTTTGCTCCTAATTGTCCGATTTTAACGATTTGTTTTATAGAAATTCCGTAAACTTTTAAATAACAATAACAAAAAAGTGTATACTTTTTGAGTTATTCGGAATCTAATTATAGCATCCCTCTTAACTTTTTTCCAGCTTCTTTTCGTTGAAGGATTTTATGTAGGTAAATTTAAAGGGAATAAAGAAGAAGACTTTAGCTAAGTTTCGTTGAAACCAGTATATTTGTTTAGGAGCTACAGTCTATAGCAACGCAGGTTTTTCGGTCGCCATCTTGAAATGAAAAGGCGGATAGAAATGTCGATGAAGGAGGATCATCCTCGGGTGACCTCTTATATTAAATACAAATTTGAAAAACATCGGTTCAAGAAAATGCGTGGACGGCGACCGGACAATAAGCCAAAAAATAAAAAAAATTCATTAGCTATGTCCATCATTGGTGCGCTTAACCTACTTTTTAAAATAAATTTTAATGAAATGAAATACTGCTAGGATTTAAAAAAAATATTTAAATGGATTTTTATTGTATATTAGAATTCTCTAATTTCAGTTTGCTATTTGAACTGTTTGTATGCCCAATCAATTAATTCGTTTGATTTAGTTGAGTAACGTCGACAACCTACATCCTTCCCACAACAATTGTGCACACATGGCATTAATTAATAAATTGAAATTGAAAAATATCTTGTAATCCTCGCCTTGAAATCTATCAATAACGTGAAAACAAAATTAAAAATAACTTTAAAAACTCTATTTAGATATATTTTAGAGTTCTAGTAATTACTTTCGAATAAATTTTTATTTATTTATTTGCTCCGCTATGAAAACCATATTTCTCATTCCTTCACTAAATTAAGACGGGATTTAGACATGCAAAATAGAAAAACGCAGAAATGAACTAAGACACAGGTGAAGGTCAAGAGAAAATAAATGCATTTCTCTAACACCAACTTGCAATTATAATTTCAATTCTCTAACTCAATATAGAGAGGTTTAAAATATATTGTTTTCGGGGAGCATACGACCAAAATAATATTGTTTGTTTATAATGTAATATTACATATGGTGCTGAAAATTAGGTAACATACAAAATATTACCTAAATTATAGCAATTTTAGTATAGAACTGATTGAGCACTGGTGTGATGAATGGCGCATTAAAGTGAATGAGTCGAAATGCAAACATATTACCTTAACTCTCCGACGCAATTCCTCTCCAGCAGTACACTTTAATTTCATCCAGCTTGCTTAATCAGACACAGTCCGGTATCTTGGCTTTCTCTTAGAACGAAGATTGACATGGAATCCACATACATATATAGACTACTGGACAGAAAATCTCAACTTTCAATTGACAACAAACTACTGATCTACAAGACAATACTGAAATCAACTTGGACCTACGACTGGAACTGTGGGAGACAGCAAAATTTCCTAACATCAAACGCATTCAATCCTTTCAGTCCAAAGTCCTTCGAACAATAGTTGATGCTCCGTTCTATGTAACCAAACAAACCCTATACCATGACCTTAATATCCCATTTGTTCTAGATCTTATAACTCAAAAAATTTCCAAATTTCATCTAAACCTAACATATCATCCAAATCCAATTGCACAATCCCTCTCTAGCTCTAATCATCCCTACAATCCTCCTCGAAGGTTGAA